CTCAAATGTATATAAAACCTTATTGTTTGCTGGGATGCATCTCGCAAGTGCGCACTATAGTAGTGATCGTAACTGTACATAAGATATATCGAGGGCTTATATTCAATACCCTCTATCTACAATTTTGATGAAAATGAGTTTTTGATGGTAACGTGAGCTCTTATTTATCCTTCAGCCATGACAATAATGCCAAACTTAAAATTTTGCTTTTATGGTATTATGTTCTCATTTTGAAAAATCCACTATCTGCAATAACATTTTGTTACAAAAGCAAAATCCTCTATCTACACAATTTTGCTGGAAAATCGTTTTCATTACCATTTTTTTGTGGCAGGTCAAATAAAGACTGGGTAAGTTACATGTGCCGATGCATGTATGTATATGTTCCGGTAAAATCCGATCTTAGGTCAAACTAGTTTTGCCCAGGCTAAACTTGTTCTACCTAATGCGATGTCCAACCGAAACCAAATCTTGTGGACTGCGTAGCTTCAGTTGGACTGATGAGAGTTACAAAAATAGTTTATTCTAAGATCGGGTTTGGCCGGTAGCTTACAGGTATATACATGTCCGCTCATTTACTACAATAATGTCATAACTCAAAAAATCAAAACTCGAGAAAGACGGCTTTAAAGTTTTGAATTTACATATACGCCGATACTAAAAATGAATACATATTTTATTCTAGTGAGATTCTGGTAAAGGCCTGTATGCAGCTCTCAAGAAAAGCAAAAACTCCATATAAAATGACGTACAAGAAATGGCTAAGAAATTTTCTTGAGTCAAATTTCCTTAAGGCAGTACGCAGTTCTTAAGAAATTTACTACGCTTTCTACTACGGTTTTCTAAAGTTTTTTGTGAAGAAAGAGCATAAGGCAACCCAGTTTTGCAACAGAAATATATGCCCGTTCCATTATTTCTTGAGGAAAGAGTGGGGCAACAGGCTGTGAAGTATCAAAAAATGTCAAAATTCCTTGGACACACACGCGAAATAATGGCAATTTTTTCTTGACCGTTTTCTTGAGAGCTGCATACAGGGCTTAATCGATACAACTATGATATTTTTACACGAAATAGAAGAAGACGTAGCGATAATTTCTGCATACTCAACTCAAAATTTGTATTTTTTGGATTATGACACTACTAAAGTAAATGAGCGATGTGTATATGTTTATTTGCCTCCACTTGGTCCGAAGATTCCCACATTTCTCTCTTACTCATATCTATTTAAGAGTTTGACCAACCATCTCTTAGATGACAGGCAAAAGCCCTGGTGCAGACAAAATCCCGTACCCCGTTCTAAAAAATCATCCGTATCCCATCAAACATAGAGTCATTAAACTCCATAACTACATTTTATTTCAAGGGTTATATCATCAAGAGTGGGAAACTGCTATTATTATTCCTATTGCCAAACTAAATACGCTAATGATATTTTAATTTTTTCTAAGACTAAGGACTTGACGCAAGTAAAAATTATTTTTTCTAACATACTAAACGATCTAATCAATTGGTCCAAATCTTCAGGAGCTCAGATTTAAGCTGAAAAAGTAATTTTTTCACATATGCAGAAAATACAAATAAATACATACATCCAACCCTCTCCTTGTCTAACACCCCTCCCCTATACTGATACATTGAAAATATTTGGAATGATTTTTTACCCCAGCAAACATTTGGAGTCATAAATGAGTCTTTAAGGAGTCCTATTTCGGAGCTATTACGCTCATAATGAGCTCATTTAAGAGTCCGATATGAGTGTGTTTCCCTTGCTACGAATGTCGACTTATATGAGCTTAAATTCATACATCAAATGAGCCTCAATATGAGTCATATTGGACTCTTATTGGCCTCATATACGGCTCATTTTAGACTCTTTTAAAACAAGTTTTGGCCTCGTATATGACTCTTTTTGAGACCCTTATCGGCCTCATAAATTGCTACATTCGGACTCTTATTTTAGGTTGCTCTTTGAGTCTTATTCAACTCACTATATTTGCAAAGACATTCCGCAAAAAGTCCTTGCAAATAACATACATACATACTTACATGCATATACACATTCCAACATGCATTCAATAGCAGCAGCTGAAGCTAAATTTTGTTAATTTTTTGTTTTCTAATTATTTCCAATTTCTGTATAAACAAGTTTAGATATAAATTTCAAATCTTTATTGTTTTTATATTGGCACAAGGTGCTGGCTCATAATTTGGCTCATATATGAATCCTAAAAGATTCATATAAGAGTAAAAAAAATTTTGTTTTTGAAACTCATATTTCTTACCTACCTAGGACACCTTTCGGACTCATATATTCTGAACGCTCAGAATATGTTTGCGGGGAATAAACCTACTTTTAAGCAGAACTGTCATTATGTAAAAGTTGACTTTGGGCTCGTAATTTATGGACACTGCGCAAAAAAACATCTTAAATTGCTAGAAACACCTTACTATGTAGCAGAGGAGAAAAAGCATCCGTGCATTTCCCACCTCGCCAATAAAAGCTATCTCTCACGTCGAATCCTGCTTTCAACAAAAAAACTGATGTAGCAAGCAATCACCTTAAACGAAGGAAATTTCCTCATCTGAACGGACAGTAAACCAGCCAGCGAAGCCTCTTTTAACAGTGCTAATGATTCTCATATAATTTCGAAATCACGTGAAATACTCTTTTGACACAAAAACACATTTAAAATTATGTGGTTACCTGGGCACATCGGAATAGAAGGGAACGAATTTTCACACCTATGATTTCTGCATTAAAATCTTATTTAACATAGTATTTACGTCTAAAGAACTGACATTTTCATTATTCTGCAAAACCTTCTATCAGCTAATTTTTCTATATAAATAGTTATAATTCGAATTGCAATAACCTCTATCTGATCTTTAAACTAAAATTAAATGAATTAAAAGTAAAAAACTAGTTTGAGTATATTGCGTGAATATTTAAGACATGCGTGTGTACTTAAAATTATTAACACTTTTAAAAACAGCTGCCAAAACAGTTTTTTGCTCTCCTGAAAAATTGAGTTTTTGAATATAAGCCCTCGATATGCTTTACAAAATATACTAAGTATTGGTTTTACATATTACTAAAAAAAGATTGTCCTTGAATATTGGTATTTGTGGTTTTTAATAAAAATGAGAATTAAGTTCCTAAAATAGCAAAAGTTATTTTGGGGGAGCACCATTCAAAATAGTGGAATTTTTTAAGGATTTTGGGGGAACTAGCCTTAATAGAGTTGGCATCCCTGGTTTACTCTTGGAAATTGTGTTATTGTTAAGTTACTGGATATTTTTTTTTACTGGGGAGTACCCAGACAGCTTCTGTTATAACTTGAATTGTTTTTACTTTGGTTAGCAACTAACTATGAAAAAGAAGCAATCATTCCTTGACCAAAAGTACGGTTTCTTACAGTTTTTCCTCTGGGTATAATTTTACGGCTATTTTTGTGATTTTATCCTTTAATATTTTAATCATAATTTATTTCCGATCAATAGCAAACAACTGACTAAATACCTAAAGGTCGTTTTTCTACTTTTTTATTAACCGACTTCTTTTTTGGAAGGTTATCAGTTCGTCGGAATATTTTTATTTATTTTTTCTTTTTTTTTTATGTATGTTACCGCATAACTTTGGACCACGATTTGGATAATTCTTTTTGCATCGGAAAGGTAGTGTCTCAGAGGTGGTCCCATACTAATCTGGGTTAGATCCGATCATTGGATCATGAAATCGTTACCTTAATATAGAAAGGCCCTAACTCATATAGTCGCTGAAACGCAAAAAAATCCGTAACTGTCTAAAAATTTGTATTGCTTAAAATGATGTGGGGACTTATAATTCGATGAAATGCATCATAAACAATCAAAAAGGAATTTTTGGATTTTTACTTAGTTACGGCCTTTTGTATTTCAGCGACAATATCAGTAAGGGCCTTTCTATATTAAGGTAACGAAATATATATATATATATATATATATATATTTTGATATGAGAATTGAAGTCGGTTTTGTTTTTTGATTTAAAATTACTTGTTTTACTGCATTTGGCGTTCTACAAGAAACCTAGCAACATATTCGTATCTATTTTTTCGTGAAATCCACTTTTCTAAAAATACATATAATTAAGAGTGGAAGTTCGTAAAATGGTGGTGACTTGAAAAAAATATGAAACTGATAAATATTTTGAAAATCGACTTCATAAACTATTTGCATGATTAAGGCGATGTACGATTTTTCCGAAATACTGCAATTGTACTTTTTTGCTGCTTACATATACAGTGTTCGTGGAAACATTATAAAAATGCAGAGATTAAAAAAATTGCACAACAAACTTTATATTCATAATTTTTAGAAAAATTCCAAGTATGGAGTTTTGTAACTTATTAATAAAAAAGTGCAAGTTTCAAAAGGCTAAGAATCTTCGTTGATTTTTTTTTTTTAATATTTGTACAAAGTGAAAAGTTTGGATTTACATGGATTTTGTTAGACATATAATTTTGTCTCGGGGTGTACGGTACAGATAATAGCTTTGTTCCACACGCTTTGCGGGCTGTTTCGGTAATTAGACAGTAAAAATAAGTTCCTCTCTTACAAGTGTCAACAATTTGTCAAAACGTGCTTAAAGTGTCCAGAGCGTGAGGAACGCAAGAAACCACTGTTTTGGGTACCCGTGGGATCCCGCGTGTTAGTGTGGATCATACATATCAGGAATTCCTTTATTTTATTGGAAAACTGCTTCAAAACGTTCTGTACTGTAAAAAATGGTTTTTATTTTTAAAAGGGGATACTGCGAAACGCGATTTTTTCGCAGTAATATACAGTTTTTTGCCGAAAAAAGATACGAGCGTTATGCATGATGTTTAGGAGGACTATCCATTTCAATAAACAAAAAATTCGAATAACCATATGACCACTTCACGAATTTTCACTCTAAAGCTATATCGCTAATGGTTACATAAAAACATTTATCCTTCTATCTCCTATTCTATTTTTAGGATAAGCTATTCCTCGGCACCTTGCAATGGGCTGCGTTACTAGTTGACGAAGCGCATCGCTTAAAAAATGACGACTCATTGCTGTATAAATCTCTCAAAGAGTTTGAAACAAATCATCGCCTCCTTATCACTGGCACACCACTGCAAAATTCTCTTAAGGAACTTTGGGCTTTGCTTCATTTCATTATGCCCAATCGTTTTGTTACTTGGGAAGATTTTGAGGTGGAACATGGCAATGCAGCAGACAAGGGATACACCAAATTACATCAGCAACTCGAGCCATATATTTTACGGCGAGTAAAAAAGGATGTCGAGAAGTCGTTGCCCGCAAAAGTGGAGCAAATATTGCGTGTCGAAATGACATTGCTGCAGAAACAGTACTACAAATGGATCTTGACGAAAAACTTCGATGCTTTGCGCAAAGGCAAGAAGGGTTCTACGTCGACATTCTTAAATATTGTCATAGAACTGAAGAAATGTTGTAATCACGCTTCTCTTATACGGCCGTCAGAATTTGAATTGATAGGTCTGCAGCAAGAAGAGGCATTGCAAACGTTATTAAAAGGCTCTGGAAAGTTGGTGCTTCTGGATAAGTTATTATGTCGCCTCAAAGAGACTGGTCATCGTGTATTGATTTTCTCGCAGATGGTGCGCATGCTGGACGTGCTGGCCGATTATCTGCAAAAGCGACACTTTCCCTTTCAACGTCTCGATGGCAGCATAAAGGGTGAAATGCGCCGCCAAGCCTTAGACCATTTTAATGCCGATGGTAGTCAAGATTTTTGTTTTCTTTTGTCGACACGCGCTGGTGGATTGGGTATTAATTTAGCGACGGCTGATACAGTTATTATCTTTGATTCGGATTGGAATCCTCAAAATGATTTACAGGCACAGGCGCGGGCACATCGCATTGGCCAGAAAAATCAAGTAAATATTTATCGTTTAGTAACAGCACGTTCTGTTGAAGAGCAAATTGTCGAGCGAGCGAAACAGAAAATGGTACTTGATCATCTTGTCATACAGCGCATGGACACGACGGGTCGTACGGTTTTAGATAAAAGCGGTGCGAGTTCATCAAATGCCACACCCTTCAACAAGGATGATTTATCAGCTATTTTGAAATTTGGCGCCGAAGAGTTATTCAAAGATGAACAGGAAAACGATGATGAGTTGGTTTGCGACATCGATGAAATCTTACGTCGTGCAGAAACACGTAATGAAGATCCGGAAATGCCTGGTGATGATCTACTGTCCGCGTTTAAGGTTGCGAGTATTGCTACATTTGAGGAAGAGCCCAGCGAGGCGGCAAAAGACGATGATAATGTAGGCGGTGATGAAGAAGATACCAAGGATTGGGACGATATTATTCCGGAGGATTTTCGAAAGATAGTCGAGGACCAAGAACGTGCTAAAGAGATGGAAGACTTGTATTTGCCACCCCGTCGAAAAACAGCAGCAGCTAACCAGGTTTATTTTCTTCCCCATTTGATTTTGTTAATCTTATAGCATAGAAAATATATGAATTTACTGAACTAGAACCTGTTTCCAAATTAAAATAAGCTTAAGGAATGCGATTTTTTTTTTAGTAAATTTTTTATATTCTTTTTAGTCTCTTTGATAAGCACCATATCTGATCCAACTTATAGAAGACTGACCTGAAAACATCCGCTTGCTTGTAGGCGCCATCAAACTATTTCCGCGTTATCGTTGCGAAAATATCGTTGAAGTCCATTTTTTAATTAGCCTTAGCTCTTGCCTTCTATGCTTCGACTTTTTCCTGGAAGTTTAATGTTGGGCCGTTTTCCCAGTGGACTCTTCAGACTTAATTTTCAACTTCTGGTAAAAAATTTTAAATTGGGTTGTATGCGGAGCTTTTCGGCCGGTATAATCAAAAGTCAAAAGTTTTATTTTTCCTTCGCTCTCCTATGCGTTTCGGCGTCCTTCACGCCTTCATCAGGGAGTCTGATAATTTATTGAAAACTAAATATAAAAACACAACAATTAGACATAAATATATTGAAGTATTGCATACTTATATATGTACAATTTTCTATTGAACAGACACTTACATTGTAGTTACATATAAATTAACAAGAAACTTCACTAATCACTCGACATCCACTTAACATATTTAATACGCGTCGTTATCGTCGCCCGTCTTCTATTATGCAATATCGCTGCACGCTATGCGCAATTTATGTTGTCAACGTCTTCCTTGAAATTCATCGCGTCCTGCATTTTTTATTGGATTCGGAGACTTGCCAAAGTTAGTCTTGTTTTTTCCCTTCTCTCCGCGTCTAATATTTTGGTGTTTACAAAGTCTGCTGTGTGTCCACTATTCGTCAAATGCTGCTGTCGTCTTCTTATTTCTTATGTCTGCCTGGTGCTCGGTAATTCTAATACCGCTTTGTGGAGCCTGTATATTTAGTTGCAGTTTTCGCCAACTTTACCATTGCATTTAATTTTATATACCACATTGTTGTTGTTGCTTATCTATTTTGTCTTTTGTTTTGGTAAACATTTTGTTAAGTGTGCTATGTGGTTTGTCTGCATATGTTATGTTATTGTATTTAATACTTTTGTGCAGCGTTTTGCTGTCAGTTAGTCCTTGTATATAACTATATGACTCCAATACATTTTTTTCTGTTGTCTGGTTGCATATTCTCTCGACGTACGAAAACCACGCTCTATAAGTCACTCATCATGCCCGTGCTGGTATATGGCGCAGAAGCATGGACAATGACAACATCCGATGAGGCGGCTCTTGGGGTGTTTGAGAGAAAGATTTTGCGGAAGATTTACGGTCCTTTACGCGTTGGCGACGGCGAGTACCGCAGACGATGGAACGATGAGCTGTATGAGCTTTACAACGATATGGACATAGTGCAGCGAATTAAAATACAGCGGCTCCGCTGGCTTGGTCATGTCGTTCGAATGGACACCGACGCTCCAGCTCTGAAAGTATTCAACTCGGAACCCGCTGGTGGTAGCAGAGGAAGAGGGAGACCCCCACTGCGATGGAAAGATCAGGTGGAGAAGGACTTGGCTTCACTTGGCGTTTCCAATTGGCGTCAGTTGGCACAGAGGAGAAACGACTGGCGTGCTTTGCTGAACTCGGCCAAAATCGCTTAGGCGGTTACAGCGCCAAAAAAGAAGAAGAAGAAGGTTGCATATTCACTTGTGTTGATTTTAATTTCTTTCTTGTTATTACTATTAAGCTTTCAATTATTTTGCTTGGATACCCGTTCTTATGCAATACGTTCTTAACTTTCATCGTATTTTCTTTGCTGAACTCCTGGTCACTTAACGCGTAGACTTTGTTGGTGAGGTTAACCACTGTATCTGTATTTTGGTACCAGGGCTAGTTCGAATGATAGTTTATCGTTCTAGACGATACTATGGATTTGGCATTCCAGTTTGTTCTTATTTCTCCATTCAAGTGGTGATTTTCCATGTATAGGAAAGCTAACTTTTTCCCCTCTACTAACTCTGTGGTAAACTGGATTTTTTTATATTGTGAGTTAAGTGTTTTTCGTATTTCTTCCACGTCACGTCATCTTACAATGGTGAATATGTAATCTACATACTCATTAATATATTTCATATATATATATGTCTTGTGATTTTAATTTAGCGATACTGTCGTCCAGTATTGTATCCAGAACAATTTCAGCTACGGTGGGCGATAAGGGGTTTCCCATGGGCATTCCATGTACCTGCTGATAGTACATATATTTTGTCATATAAAAAATAAATATTGTCTCGGAGACCGAACTCAAGGACTGTTGCAAATTGATTTTTAGATAGAGTGGTATTGCTTTGCAACGAAGTCCACATTTGCATAATTGTTCGCATTGCTATATGTACTGGTATATTGGTAAACAATGATACCACATAGAAGGAGAATAGGATAACAACTTCTTCAAGCCGAATGCCTTTTAACCCTTCCTTCAGCTGGAATGAACTGTTAACGTTGTAGTTGTCGGAGACTATCTTCTAATCGTTTGTCCAATGAATTTGGGGGTCTCAGGGGTGTATTTACTTTATGTATTTTTGGGAGCCCATATAATCTAGGCAAGAATTATGAAATATATGGGTTTGTGATTAATGAAGATTGGTTCATAAACAAAACCAAAATCGAAATTCCGAAAGAATGCGGCTGGTTCCTCTCCCTGGGGAAAAAATTTGCTCTGCCTGTGTCACGGAAAACTTTCTCGCCGGTGGTACACTTAAATGCGAAGTTAGAGCAGGAAATTCAGAAAATAAAGGAGGATAGAGAAAAAGGCACCGCGAAATGCAATATAGCTACCAAAATAAAAACATACAAAAACGAATTTAAGAGTAACAAAAAAGAAAGATTCATACTTAAGATTTTTGTGGCCACAAAACGGTTTATAAACCAATACAAGGACTCTATATTGATTACTAATTCGGACAAGGGAAATAAAACTGTATTTTGGAACGAATTTCCGTCATCCCTTGTCAAATTTGGTTTGGAGACAAACCGGTTTCGGCGTTGTGCCATCTTCAGTGTAATTTTTCGTTCTGCATAATTTTTGTTGGTTGCTCGTATTTATACTCCTTGTTAACTACCTCTTTCTTTTGTTAGGTACGTCTTTTTAGTTTTGCAGTGTTTGTTGTGCTCAATAGGTAGATGAATTGTTTTGGCTCGTTTTTGACGACAGGTAGAAGTCCGTGATTTTTAACTGTCTTTGTTTTTGCAGTTGGTGTATTCCCTTCCATGCCTGTCCTTAATATTTTGTTGTTGTCATTTTTCTTCTCGTACAGTAGTTTTAGAGGTTCAAACAGTACGTACGATACAGTATTTATTTGCTCATTTATTATTTGTCCTTTGAAGGTCTTCTGTTTATATATTTAGATATTTTCTAATATATTCAATCTTTGTCCTTTATGTTGTACACGGAGAAGTTCTGTTGTTTGTCTAATCTTCATTGGTGTGCATTTATTTTTGATCATGTGATTCGCGCAGTTAGATTCTATTGCAGCCTCTGGTTTTCGTTTTTTCTTAATAGAATCCCTTATGCGTTCTCGATACCTTGTTCTTATATTTCGCCCTGTTTGTCCTTTGTAACTGTGTCGGCACTCGCAGGTTAACTTGTAAACACCCTGTTTATCTAACGGGTCTTCCTCGCTTATTTTCTCTTTCAATATATTTCCCACTGTGTTCCTTGTTTTAAATGATGTCTGAATGTCGTACTTATGAAAGAATTTGGCAAGTTTGTAAGATGTCTTTCCTGTGTAAGTTAGAACTGCCCAAGTTTTTTTATTGTTTTCCGCTTTGCTAGTCTTTTTAGATTTTGTGTCCTTTCTTAACTTCTCCACCAGGCCTCTCCTATATCCGTTATTTTCCGCAATGGCATATATTGTATCCAGTTCCTTCTTGTAGTCTTCTTCTGTTAGAGGGGTCCTTTCAAGTTAGTAGTTATTAGTTGTCTAAATGCTGCATTTTTGTGTTGCTGTGGGTGGTTTGAGCTATTGTGTATGATTGTGTCTGTGGCTGTTGGTTTTCTGTATATTTGGAACTCTATCTTGTTCGTGGTATCGTTTATTTTAATTGTTAAATCCAGAAAGTTAATCTTTCTTTCCTCTTCTGTTTCCATGGTGAATTTTATATTCTGGTGTTGTTTGTTGAGATAGTCTAGTATCTGTTTCCCTTTGTTTCCCTCTATTAGACATATTACATCATCAACATATCTCGCGTAGAATTTTACTCCTAGGTTGGTCGATAGGTTTTTCATGTATTTCTCCTCCAGTGTTTGCATGAATAGTTCCATGAGTATTGCTGACTTCGGATTGCCCATTCCTAACCCGTTAATCTGTTTATATATCTTATTGTTGAACCGGAAGTAGTTTTGTTTTAATGTAACCTTCAACGCGTTTATTATTTCCGTGACAGCCTCTCTTTTCATTTTTCC